CAGGCTATCCCCTCTTCAATCTATCATGAATGCTGCTGCCAGACTCATCCACCTTACTAACTGTTCTGTATCTGCCACCCCTCTCTGCCAATCCCTCCACTGGCTTCCCATTGCCCAACGGATAAAATTCAAAACATTAACAATAACGTATAAAAGCCATTTATAACTCTGCCCCAAATTACATCAACGATCTTGTCTCCAAATATCACCCAAACCGTACTCTCTGCTCCTCGCACGACCTCCTACTCTCTAGTTCCCTTGTCTCCTCCTCCCATGCTCGTCTCCAGGACTTCTCCAGAGCTTCCCCCCGTCCTCTGGAACTCTCTACCCCAATTTATCAGACTATCGCCTACTCTGCTCACTTTTAGGCGATCTCTGAAAACCTTTCTCTTCAGGGAAGCCTATCCTCCCCTCAGCTAATAATGGAATCTTCTACTCTTCCTACCAGTCCATCCCCCACAGTTACTACCTTTTGTACCACTAGACCCTCCCTCCTAGATTGTAAGCTCCAAGGAGAAGGGTCCTCAAATCCCTTTGTATTGAACTGTATTGTTGCTGTATTGTCTCCTGTTATATTGTAAAGCGCTGAGCAAACTGTTCCTGTATAATAATAATTTTCACCGCTCTTCAGTTGTGACCTCTGCATGCAACCCTCTCCTCCACTGCCCCCATATTCCCCCCCCCCCCCCACATTAAATGCTCCACCATCTTCTTACTTTTGTTGCTGTATTTTGCTGAAGCACCCAGCTGGCTCTAGTACCTCCCTGCATACTGTAGGTGGCTCCACCTCTCACTTGCAGATCATCCAGTGGGGGTGTGTCAGTATCCACACTGCACCCCAGACACCTGCATCTCCCTTGTCCCCGTCCTGCCCCATCCACCCCATCCCATCTAACACCTGCCTTTTCAAAGATGAGGAAAGATAATTGTAACGTATACAATCTGCTCTTATCTGGAAGAATGCCAAGAACAAGTATGCAATGTATGGTACTATTGTATTAACTATTGGACTGTAGCCATAGCTAATTAGTTATATGTTAATTTAAAGTGTCTCTTAGATTGTAAGCTCCAAGGAGCAGGGCCCTCCTAACCCTCTTGTATTGATCTGTATTGACTCAATTTATATTGTAAAGTGCTGAGCAAACTGTTGGTGCTATATAAATCCTGTATTATAATAATAATAAGTGAGTGGTTTTAAACCTTCAAGGCTTTCTACCTTAATGCATTCTATGCTTTAAGGTAAAAAAACCTTTTGTGTTACAGACTGCCCATCCCCCTTATACATACCTGAGCCCCATAGTGATCCAGTGCTGTGCACAAGAGCTGTGCCTCTCCTGGCCTTGTCCCTCCAGAATGATAGATTAATGCATTTTATGCTTTAAGGTAAAAAAACCTTATGTGTCACAGACTCCCCCCTCACCCCCTTATACATACCTGAGCCCCATCATGATTCAGCGCTGTGCATGAGAGCTGTGCCTCTCCTGGCCTTGTCCCTCCAGAATGATAGATTAATGCATTCTATGCTTTAAGGTAAAAAACCTTATGTGTCACAGACTCCCCCCTTATACATACCTGAGCCCCATCATGATCCAGCGCTGTGCATGAGAGCTGTGCCTCTCCTGGCTTTGTTCCTACAGATTGATAGCAGAGGGAGACATTGGCTCCTGTCAATGAAATCCAGTGGGGACAGGGCCACGCTGCACTGTCTGTGTTAAAAGATGCAGACAGGGAGGCTTGGGAGTGAGCCTGCACGAGTGCCTCCATTAAAAGTGTCTTTCTATGGGGCCACTGAATGGGGGGGTAGGAGCCAGGAGTGCCAGCGGGGGACCTGAGAAAAGGAAGATCAGGGCTGCTCTGTGCAAAATCAGTGTACAGAGCAGGTATTATATGTTTATTAAAAAAAAACCTGAAGCTTTAGCATCATTTTAAGCATTGATGCTGTCCCAGATTTGCTGGGACAGTCCAACATCTAAGTGACCTTTCTCAATCATGTTGTGTCCCAGGCTGCGTCCTGAAATCACAGCATCACCCTTTTTTGTAGTTACTAACCATACCTGAGATGCCCACAAAATTATGGGCCGGATCACTAAGAAAATGGGTGTAACCTGAGCAGGAGCCTGTTACAAATTTAAGTGCAGCCAAAAGCAAAAGCAGAAAATCAGCACAAGGGACATAACATACAGTTAGTAGAATGTGTCCCTTGTGTTGATTCCTCTGCTCTGCTCATAGTAGTAATTCTCCTCCACTCTGGTGGATCTGGGCAAAAAGGGTGGGCATAGTCAGATTCTTTTGATGATAGCCTGTGACAGCTATTTGTATGAACCCCCCCCCCCCCCCCCGCCCCGCATCTGAAGCTTATGGAGACGGGTGGAGGGACAGGACAGAGGAAGATTACTACTAACAGAAGAGGAACCACCACAAGTGACACATCCGACTGACTGCATGTTATGTCCTTTAGGGCCACTTCACACTAGATGCGTTTCAGTTGCTTTTTTCTGCATCCAAAACGCACAGAAAGTAGGTTATATGGTTGTCAATGTTATAGTTCACATCAGTGCTTGCAGTTCCAGTGCGTTTTGGATGCAGAAAAAAAAATTAGAACACGCTGCATTTTTCCTGTACTGAACTGTACTGATGCGCTGTAAAATGCATCAAAAATGCACTGGAACGCACTGGAATGCACCAAAAATGCACTGGAACACACATGTCCAGGGGTGGACTGACAACTCATGGGGCCCCCGGGCAAAAGGGGATCATGGGGCCCCTGTGTCCTTGCCCAAACTCAAAAAAGCCTATAAAAAAGATACCAGGGGCATCTCATGGGGCCCCCTACTGACCCCGGGCCCTCGGGCAGTGCCCGAGTTTCCAAATGGTCAGTCCACCCCTGCACATGTCCCTATTTAAATTCAAGAAAAAGAGAGGGGACAAAATGAACTGGAATGCATCAAACATGTACCAGAACGCATCAAAAACACACTGGAACACACCAAAAATGCATCAAAAACATGCATGCAGAAATGCATCTGGAACGCATCTGGACTGTGTTTGTATAGTATAAACCGGCCCTAAAGCTGATTTTTCTGTTTCTGAATTTGGCTGCACATAGGATTTAAGTGTGGATCGTGGGTGGGGGTAACCATGTCCTGGGGACTGGAATGAATAGTTGTCAAGTATGATTTAAAGCAGAACTTCACTCTTTCAATCAACAATAACTATTCATAATCCTTATGCTGTTAGCATCAGTAAATAGATAGGAAAGCATATTATATTTACTGGTTTAAACAGTTTTTTTTACATTTCTTCAGCTCCTTCCTGGTTTCTGGCCTAGGCAAATGAAGTCATACATCCCAGGAGTTTTCAGAAGGGGAGGAGGGTTTTTCTCAGCTGAGGGCAGATGAATTCCAGGAAGTAAAGGCTACATGAAACATCTGCCCTTACTCAAGGTGGCTGCAACCAAAAAAACTAGGGGGGAGTTTTTCAAACTGATTTCTCAGCAAAATAAAGTATTGGGGGAGTTTGCTTTGAATATTAAAAATGAATGAAATAGTGTTTTCTGTTTGTAGTGCTCAGATGCCGTGTAGTTCCACTTTAAGCAGCACAATATATTTGAAATCACAAAAGACAGAACAGTACATATACATACAGTATACAAAAAGTATCATTTGAACTTGGCCACAATATCATATGACTATTGGCAGTCTCTAAAGGTAAGTGACTAGATTACTTATAAATTTAGATATGCAAGGCTGGCCATACATTATACAATTTTCTTGAGAATTTTGCTTTAGATTTACCAAAAACCATATAATATGAGGTCAATCCTAAACAACAACACTTTCAATTGTATCCAATTAGGCAGGCCCTTGCACTACATAGTTGAAGGTAAATCTAAAGGAAATTGGGCAGAAATTGGACACAAAATTGTATAGTGTATGGCCAGCCTTAGTCTGCCATGTTGTTTTCCTCTGATGATGTGCGTGCGCATGTAACGCGTAAGGAGGAGCCTACTCACGCCGTGCCGTCACGCCGTCGGAGCATTGTGGAGCTCCGGCGGACATCTCTATTCAAGGACAGTCCTAATTGTTTTTTCAATGTTTACCTTTGCATGCATCCTATTTATTGACCAATAAATGCTTTACTTAACCTACTACACTATGGGCATTCTTCCGTTTTGACCCCTGTGGGGAGCATTAAATCCTTTAGACGCCCAGCATCAGCCCATTACCTCCAGAGAGGGAGCCTCCTACTAACTCCTGTGAGCTGCACCCACCAAATCCCTTAAGGGGAACTCTGGACACCCCTGGGTCATCAACATCTAAAGTTCCAGGACCAATTCACCTTGAGAGGGAGCCTTTTCCATCTACTGGCCCAGATGACATCAGGATAATTTATTCAAACGCGCATTACTATTGCGCGTCCTGTGAGTGCGCATTTCTTCCGCTATCACAAGCACAAGCACCGATTGAATCTTTGGGGGCATTAACAGCACTATTTAGTCATCACTACGGATCACTTTGCCCTATGTAATTTCATATTGTTTAGGATTGTTATATATCATACTTATCTTAATTTATATGTTTTTATTATACGCTCATATTTTATTGCTTTTTTTATCCCACCCGTGGTCATATTTTGAAGTATCATTTTAGCGCTACACTATTATTTATTTATTCCTTGCACTACATAGTTGAAGGTAAATCTAAAGGAAATTGGGCAGAAATTGGACAGAAAATTGTATAGTGTGTGGCCAGCCTTAGTCTGCCATGTTGTCTTCAAACATAGTAGCTTCTATATTACATAAATGGTTTGTGCTAACCAAGGGTAATCATCATTGGGCTGCTCAGAACGGACACAGTAGTGGAACCTAATGTTTAACCGATCGCCATGCACTTCTGTATACAAACATACTATTGAAGCCAAAAGATAGTGCTGGACATTGTGAAGGGTTGGAGTGTGCTAATGATATAGGCGCTGTTCACCTTTTGTGTCATTATAATTACTAACCCCTGGTTCACATCCGTGCGGGCACGAGATTTGCGCGGGCACAAGAGCCCATTCATTTGAATGGACTCCAGTGCCCCGGGACACGCAGGGAAGAAGTCCTTGGCCTACTTTGGAAATCGCAGCCCGCACGGGAACCGAGGTTCCCAGTATAGTTGTGATTTGCAGTGCGGACGGCCTGCCATTAGAATTAATGGCACCCGCCTGCAGGTCCGCATTCCTCTGTGTGGGTGGTGGGGCTGCAGGTATTTGTGCGGGTCCCACAGCCGCACCACCCGCACAGATGTGAACCAGGGGTTAGAGCCGGTTCACACCATAGAAACACAGTCCAGATGTGTTTTGGATGTGTTTATGTATGCACGTGTTTGATGCGTTTTTGGCGCGTTCTTGATGTGTTTTTGACGCGTTCCAGTGCATTTTTGATCCAATTCAGTTAATTATTTCCCCTCTCTTTTTCTTCAATTTAAATAGAGACATGTGAGTTCCAGTGCGGTTTTGGTTTGTTTTTGATGCGTCTTACCACGTTGTACAGTTCTGTGCAGCCTGTTCTACTTTTTTTTCTGCAACTGGAACGCACTGGAACAGCAGGCACTGATGTGAACATTAACAACCATATAACCTACTTTCTGTGCTTTTTGGATGCAGAAAAAAAGCAACTGAAACGCATGTAGTGTACACCGGCTGTTAGTGGATTGAACTTCTAATCCAAAAATTCAAAGATTGCAGAATTGGTCGGTCTGGGCTATGGAATGCTCTTAGGACCAGTTCACACAACAAAAACGCACTCCGGATGCATTCTGGCTATGTTTTTGCTTACAGTTCACACCACACGCAGTTCCGGTGCAGTTTTGATGCAGTTTGCTGTGTTCCAGTACAGTTCTGTGCAGAAAAAATGCAGCTTGTTCGACTTTTTTTTCTGCATCCATAACGCACTGGAAATGCAAGCACTGATGTGAACTATGACATTAACAACCATATAATCTAGTTTCTGTGCTTTTTGGATGCAGAAAAAAAGCAACTGAAATGCATGTAGTGTACACCGGCTGTTAGTGGATTGAACTTCTAATCCAAAAATTCAAAGATTGCAGAATTGGTCGGTCTGGGCTATGGAATGCTCTTAGGACCAGTTCACACAACAAAACCGGATTCTGGATTCGTTTTTGCACACAGTTCACACCACACGCAGTTCCGGTGCAGTTTTCATGCAGTTTGCTATGTTCCAGTATGGTTCTGTACACAAAAAATGCAGCATGTTCTATTTTTTTTTGCACCGCAAACTGACTGGAACTGACTGCACTGGTGTGAACAGGGCCAGTGGAATAAATGGAAAACACTGTGCATGCATTTTTGATGCAGAACAAAACCGCACTGAACTGCATCTGGTGTGATTTACCCCTTGGAACTCTGAAAGCCAGTTCACACTATAGAAACGCAGTCCAGATGCGTTCCGGATGTGTTTTCCGCATGTGTGGTTTTGACAAGTTCAACTGCATTTTTTATGTGTTTTTTACGCATTCCAGTGTGTTTTTTATACAATCCAGTTCATTTCTCCCCCTCTCATTTTCTCCAATTTAAATAGGGACATGTGCATTCTAGTGCTTTTTTGATGCATTTTTGGTGCATTCCAGTGCGTTTTTGATGCGTTTTACTGCGTTCCAGTACAGTTCTGTGCAGAAAAAAAGCAGCATGTTCTACTTTTTTTTCTGCAACCGGAACACACTGATGTGAACTATGACATTGACATAACCTACTTTGTGTGTTTTGGATGCAGAAAAAAAGCAACTGAGACGCATGTAGTGTGCACTGGCCATTAGTGGATTGAACTTTTAAATCAAAAATTCAAAGGCTGAAGAAATGGGCGGTCTGGGCTATGGAATGCTCTTACGGCCAGTTCACACAACAAAAACGCACTCCGGATGCATTCTGAATACATTTTTGCTTACAGTTCACACTACATGCAGTTCTGATGCAGTTTGCTATGTTCCAGTATGGTTCTGTACACAAAAAATGCAGCTTGTTCTACTTTTTTGGAACTGCAAGCACTGATGTGAACCATGACACTGAAAACCATATAACCTACTTTCTGTGAGTTTTGGAAGCAGAAAAAAAGCAACTGACACGCATATAGTGTGAACCAGCCCTGGATGTTACTTTTTGCACTCATTATTAAAGAACATCCCAGATTGGCATTACAAGATGATGGTGTCATGGCTCAATGACACCATGCCACACTAAAATGCAGGTCATCGGCCAGCAGGTCTACACACATTACAATCTATGCTTTCCCTAAATGGTTGCACATGATGAAGTAATAGAAATAATCCGCTTCCTTGTACATCACACTGCCTACATTGTATTCAAGGCAAATGCAGGTCTATGTAGTGTAGTGTTGAATATAGCCCATGCCATATGTATTATGCCAACCCACCAATGGCATTCAGTACAGATCCCATTCCTTTTCAATCCAAGCCAACACACAGTGCTGTATGGAAAGCATCGCTCAGCCTAATAACTATTCCATTAGATCCAACAAGGCACAGTGCATGCAATAATCCTCCTCCAGCCACCCTGGCTGCTGCAAAGCATAGATCAGTGCTAATCTCCATCACACAGCGCTGGACACATCACACAGACACATCTCCTGCTGCAAAGCACACATGTTCCCTGCTCTCCTAAGGCAGATCTTCCATCATCAAGTCCTGAAGAGCACATCTGGTCTCTGCCATCCACCTCGGAGCATGTTCTGGACTGCCCATCACAAGTAAAAGTCACCCCACCATCAACACAAATGTCTACATAGCACAGTGCAGCAACCGTCTCCCCTACTTTCCTGATCACCCGAAAACAATGAGCAGATGCCAGTACAGGGGAAGGTCATCATATGTATGTATAGGGGACGATCACACCGAGAACACACACTACACACACATATGCACCAGCACCCACCCTGAACAGCACAGACCTCTCATGCCTTGCTTGGCATGACAGCCGCACCCTGCACCTTGCTTGTCATCCTCATCCTCCCCCATCAGCAGGTTCCGGATCATTGTGGGGTTCAGGGATGGATCTGTGGAAAAGGGTCAGTGAAGGAGAGCATGCTTAACCCCTCTTACCTACTGCAACCTCCACCTCTGGGATGCATCCAGCATGGCTCTCATAGGCACCAGCCCCTGCAATGGGAGGAGGACAGCACTGAGCTTGGCTCCCTTCTTTTCTTTCTTTTTTTTTTTGATTAGCCCTTCATGGTGTAGAGCCGGTTAGGAGCGTCCTGTCATACAGCAGGGAAGGAGATTGGGGGGGGGTGCTGAGTCTGTCCTGTGATCCAGGAGGAGGAGGGGGGAGGAGAGGCTGTCCTGTGACACAGGGGGAGGGAGGCTGTCATAGACAGGGGACGGCACTGAGCTGCCCTTCTCTACACAGGCATGGGAGGAGATTAGCAAGAAGACAAGAGGTGGGAGGGGCTCGCTGTCATTCAGGCGGGGAAGTGGGAGGGCTCAGCTGTCGGTCGGAAAGGGGGAAGTGGGAGGAGCTGCTGTCATTCAGTGGGGAAGTGGGAGGGCTCTGCTGTCATTCAGGAGGGACGTAGGAGGAGCTATTGTCATTCAGCGGGGAAGTGGGAGGAGCTGCTGTCATTCAGGAGGAGCTCCTGGATGATGAAGGGTGGAGGGAGGATTGAGGGGTCTGTATGGGTGAGGCTGTTCTATACAGTGCAGGCGCTTCATCCTGTGTGATACCTGCTTGGCATCCTTCCCTATTGTACCTCTCACCTTTATATTAGACGACCACGTCTGTGCGATCACATCATCCTACAACATATGGGCCGGTTCACGTGCACCTGCCTGGCATATGCTCTACCTATGGCACCTTTTCAGGGGGGACTCGTCCTGTTTCCTGTGCAGGAGGCTCATCAGTGCCCTCCATTGAAGGTGCTGTGTGGACTGACTAGTAGGAGGATGGTAGGCAGGGGGGGGTCCATCGGCTCAGCCCGCCCTGCGCCCTCCAGGCAGATGGGGAGTGAGGTGTAATGTGACGTGGCTCTATACTGCTCTGTAATACTGGGGGGAGCCAGAGAAATGCAGTTACCATGGCAACCACTATAGTACATCACATGGTAGCGGCAGCATGTGGCTTCTGGGACAGACACGTAGACGTATGAAGGAGTATATACATGCATTCATACAGCTGCTAGGAGGCAATCACAGCAAAGACACATAATGAGAGGTGGGGGGGGGGGGGGGGGGGGTAGGACATTGCCACAGGGTGACCCTCCCCACCTGATCATCAATGCTGCTATGTCACTTCCAATGACTCATCCAATCTGATTTCTGGATCATCTGCATATTAAACATATCAGGGATATATATGAAAAGCTGAACTTGGAAACTCATCCATTGTCCAGACATATTATAAAGTTGCTCATTTTTGCCACACTCAAAAAATGTCTTAGAAATCCAAAGGGGGGTTTTCACCAGTGAAATAAAGACATGTCCATTCCAGATTACAGTTTTAAAAAGATGTGTTTTAGTCAGGGGAGGACTGACAACTCATGGGTCCCCCAGGCAATAGGGGATCATGGGGCCCCTGTGTCCTTGCCCAAACTCAAAAAAAGCCTATGAAAAAGGTACCAGGGGCATCTCATGGGGCCCCCTACTGACCCCGGGCCCTCGGGCAGTTTCCAAATGGTCAGTCCGCCCCTGGTTGTAGTGAGAAAGCTTCATACTGATGCGCTGCGCTGATACAAGCCTGCAGGTTCACCACTTGCCCTCCTGAGGATTTAACCCCCCTTCCTGACCCGGAAAGTTTTTGCAATACTGCGTTACTTTAACTGACAATTGTGCAGTCATGCATGCAATGTTGTACAAAAATGACATTTATATCCCCCCCCCTCCCCACAAATAGAGCTTTCAGTGGTATTTCATCACCTCTGCGTTTTTTCTTTTTTCCACTATAAACATAAAAAGTCTGACAATTTAAAAAAAAATTTTTTTTTACATTTTCTATAAAACATATCCAGTAAGAAAATGTAAAAAATCAAATTTCATCATAAATTTAGGCCAAAATGTATTCTGCTACATGTCCTTGCTAAAAAAAATGTAAATTAAATGGTTTACGTGAAAGTTATAGCATTTACAAATGGTGATATATACTGGAATTTTTTCTTTTTATACTACTAATGGCAGCAATCAGCAACTTATAACAGTACTGCAGTGGGCATTCTGACACTGGGTGGCTGACTAACTGCCACTGACATCCCCAGTGACACTAATACAATGATCAGTGCTAATAAAATGCACTGACACTGTAATAATGACACTGGGCAGGAAGGTGTTAACATCTGGGGCGATCAAAGGGTTAACTGTGAGCTGTTTTACATGATGTGCTGCGTGTGTTTTACTAGGGAGACATGCTGCTGTGTATTTCTCTGCTGTGCAGGGGAGAGACCTGTGTTGTTTATACACAGGTCTC